CATACCACGTGACTCAGCCTTGTTCTCCTATGGATCCCCCCACGTGCCCAACGAGTGTGATGAGTCGTGCTCGTGCGGCTCGTGACCGGTCTCCTTCAAGGCTGTGTCCAACATTATATTATATTCTCTTAGTACTTCCGAATCTACTTTCGATATATAAATGTTTAAGATATTCGGGTCGTCTTCTTAATAAGTATAAATAAAGTTCGGGTAACTTCTTTTCTATAGGTATTCATCGTTTTAGTAGACTCTTATATTAAAGATTATTTCGATTTTAGAAGGGAGATTCCCTAGTTCGTATATAGTATAGCTATATTTTAGTAGTGTTAAAGTATAGTAGGGGTCTAAATATATTCTTCTTACTTAGTATTTAGTTCGGATATATATACGTGTAGATATAATCGCTATTAATATCGCTTTTCCACTGTCGATACTTTCTCCGACTATTACTATTCTCTCTTCTATTATATTAACTTTAGAAATAGTCGTCGCTATTTCCTTAGTTTTAGATTTCTTTTCGATAGCTATAACCTACTTTTTCTTATCTTTATAGTCTTTCGCGTAATGACCTAGCTTACCGTAACTATAATAAGCCGTTTCTTTTTCTTTTCTAAGATCGGTTTTCTCTTTTCCATTTCCTCTATCGTTATTACGTCTTTTTTACGCTTAGTCTAGATCTATAGATTATAGTTCGTAATAGAGTTCGCGCCTTTTCTAGATATTAGCTCGTTAAGTTCTTATCGTATAGATTTTTCGAGTGATATTAGAGCGCTTATATTAATGATATTCTTTAATATCGTTATCTTTCTTAATAGTCGTAGCTATTTATTTCTTTAGTAGTTTCTTCTCTAAATATCGAAGTTTCTACTTAATTTTCGACTTTAATTTCTCTCGAAAGATAGAGATAATAATATTATCTTATTAGCTAAGCTTCGTATTTAGCGTTCTAAACTTAATTATATATTCTTAAATAAATCTAATTTATCGGAGACTCACTATTTTCTTTTAAGCTTTCTTTTCTTTATCTTTCGCCCCGAATATTAATTTTATTATTTTCTTAAATTCCGTAAACGTAGCGAAGAGACTAATAATCTCGTTCTCTTTATTATTCGCTTCGTTCTTAATATAGTTCTTAACGAAGAGTCTAAGCTAAGTCTCGGTATTATCTTCGAAGTAACTTTCTATAAAGAGTATTTTCTATAAGTTATTTTAAAAGTTAGTAAGATTCATTAGAATATATAAATCCGTGTAGTAGATAAAGAGTATAAGTTTAGATTCTACGCCGTTAAAAGGCTTAGATGAATTACTAATCTTTCTCTTAATTACTGGTACTAGCGCGGCGGTAGTTATTACCGTCCTTAAGGTGCTTAGTGTTAATCTCGGGGTACTAGTAGTAGTAGATATAGTGTCGTTAAGGGATAGTCGTGCTGTGCGTCGTGCTAGTTCGTCAATGGGCGAGATGAGTCGGTCGGGTCTTTCTTAGCTACTTATAGGGGTCGTTCTCCATAATAAGGGTGATAGCTAAAGTATTAAGGTTCCTACCGGGGTCTAACTGAGTTAGGGTTTCTAGTAACAATTCTAATAGTATGAACTAATTGGGAAAAACGTAAGGTATGAGGAGTCACTTTGTCACTAAGAACTATAAGTTTAATAGTTAATATAAGTTAACTACGAAGAGAGTATAAGCTATCTAGGGGAAATGAGCGTAGCTATATACTTGTATGGGCTTTCCGTATGGAGTAATGTGAGTCGGTATATTGGTATATTGGTATATTCTAGTCCAACATATCAACAGGCTACTTCTTTTCTATCCTGGACATTACGTGACTTCTTTTAGCCTTGCTTCCCGAGGCTGCCTTATTCGGTTAAGCTTTCTTTTTAGTTCATTCTACGTTCTGCTCGCGGGCCTTTAAGGCTATATCTAATATACTCCCTCTCCGTAGGTAATAGATTCGATCTATTTATTCTCGCCGTATTCTTTCTCTTTTAAGTCTAGATAATTCGGTCTATAATTATTCATTATTTATTTCTTCGAGGTCACTTACGTTCGTAGGCGTAAAAATAAAGTGTCGCGGGTCTATAGAGCCCGTAGTAATCGTAGAGTCTTCATCGACAGTTCCCGACGAGACCTCGGGCGCCTTATTATCTCGGGGCGATGAGGGGTTCATTCTTACCTAATTTAGATAGAAACTTATTCTAGTAAGAATAGTTTTTAGGGGTCTCTCTAGAATCGCATATAGCTACTACTAACTCAACAATACCACTACGTAATAGATAAGTATTAAGAATTATTAGAGACCTACGCAACGTAGTAGATATAAAGAAATTAAAGTAGCTAAATATTTTATTCTATTCACGTAGCCCTATTAACAACGACTCAACGCTTAAGAAAAAGGAAGAGTTCTCTCTCAGCCGATTCAGGTGAGAGGAGACTCTTATAGCTTCCTCTCTTTCTGTCACGTGAAAAGGGTAAGGCAGCGTTAACCGATAGCCTTGTGCCTTAACCGTCCTTTGCCTTATTCTTTTCTTTTCTTTCTATACCGTTCACCCGATTCGGGTGGAGGGCGTAGAGTACTTGGGGACAACGGTGGGCTCGTGACACTATACCTATACAGGACTGCCGCTATCGCCGCCTCCCATGGCTACGAGTAACACAGCTCGAGCTAATCTGTTGTACACAGAACAGGAGTGGTTCTACCTGATTGATTGTGTCTTGTCTCTCTGCTTACTCAGAGAGACTCTGCCTGTTTATGTACACTTTGGGCTGTGATCTCAAGGCCTTTCCTGAAACCTCCTATTCCTTCGTCATGCTATCGCAGAGAACAACGGTGTTAGGGTAAGTGGCGTCATTGGTAAGATAGTACTTAACGTCTCAGGTGGTTTGCCACAGTGGCGATCTCGCGACCCTGTCAACAGCACCCCTCCTTGCGGAGAAATCTTGTGAAGCTTTGCATCGTAAATGTACGGGATGCAGCGTCTTGGTAGCCGGCACTTTCAGCCCAACAACAGCATGATGTCTTACCGCGTGAGGCCTTGGAGAAGTTTATATTCGAAAGTCCTCTAAGAACCAACAGCATGCGATCTCACTTGCCAATACGTTACAATCAGACGCGAATACCCTCAAGAAACTGCGTCAAGGGCCCGGCCTGTGTTTCAAGCTCTATCACAGCGACGGAGAGCCCTTGATAAGGTGGAAGCTTGTTTGGAACGCGTGGTAGGTGATAAGACAACCACAGTATTGGACTGCCAGTCTAATAGAATTTAAAGGGGTGTGATTTTACAACGCTAAAGACAATTCACGTCGCTGGAACAAAAGGAAAAGGTTCTACATGCATGTTCGTGGTTTCCGTGTTGAATCAATATCGGAAGTCAATAGGAATACCTGGGAAAATCGGTCTATATACCTCAACTCATTCTGTATATGCGCGAGGGAAGATCAGAATCAATGGACGACCGATTTCAAAGGAAAGCTCTGCACGGGATTTTTTTTTGAGGTCCGGGATAATCTCTACGGACGTGTGAAATGAAGCGTAAAAGTGTATTGAACTATCCTAAATCTATCTGGTCGGGGAGGCTGCTTTTATAGCCATAGTTACTAGCGTCTTGGCGTATTTCACAGACGTGACACATTTGATAGAGAGTCTCCCTGTTGGCTGGGATATTTCCCCTTTTCGACTCTGCTCTCTATCTATATCTTCACTCAGGAGCAGGTTGACATTGCTATATTTGAAGCTGGTATCGGAGGCGAGTACGATTCAACAGACATCATCTCAAGGCCCTTGGTCTGTGGAATCACCTCCCTGGGGCATAGACCATGTGACCACACCTGGGCCTACAATCGAAGAGATTGCCTGGCACAAGGCCCGCATTTTCAAATATGGCTCTCCGTCTCTTTCAGTTCTGCAGCCACCAACCGGCAGAAACGATGACGCCTATATAATATAATCACGGTCATTTCATAGCTTTACTTTGTCGTTGATTTCGTTCTCAATCATACCCCCACGTTTGGGCCGTGATTAGTTTTGCTCTCGATCAGTGCGTCGACTCGCTCTGCATTGCTCCCATACCTCTGCTCTTTCCTCCACTACCATCAAAACCGTGGTCCCGTGACACACCACGTGTGGAGCGATTCATAACATAGGACTGATATTAACCGGCAAAGCAGCCACTCTAGGGTCGCCGCGGCATCTGGATACATCGGCGCCATATCTTGGACGCTCAGATATACCAGAAATATACATAAGGAGAAACAAATGGACATGTTGAAGATCCAGACCACAGTGAAAAAAACAAGACTCGCCAGTATCTTTTGGGCACTGCTACTCTCTTTGATGATAAGCGACTAGTATAACCATGGTCGGTCAGTGTAGCGACTTGATACAACGGAAGTTCGGATCTCATTGAAAGTGTGTCATCACAAGGGTGTTCGAAAGCCACACTTGATCAAGATGATCTGTGCCTTATCCAGGTCCCAAATGGCTTTCTTATGATAAACGTCATTTTCCAGTCTCTGTCGCACGGCATCCGCGTTCTCTATCTGCACTATCATCACGCTCCCATTGACTGCTGGGGCCTCACCGGGTTGAGAGATTGGGGACAGCAGAGCTCCACCCTTAACGACGACCTTAGCATCAACCAAGGGCTGGACTTCACGTAAGTGGATGGGGCGAGCTTCGGCGCGGGTTTCTGGAGAGACATTGGCGAAGTCCGGGATGATGACGAGGAATTCCGGGAGGGACGAGGTCATGACTGCTGAATGAATGGGTTTTCTCGTAATCTCTTTTGGGATCGATCCGAGGTAAAGAGATTAAGACTGATAATAGTAGTATGGCGGCCCTTAAGGGCTTTAGACGGTGTTGAAGAAGTTTACTTTTTCTGCTCGAACGGTCGAAGTATTGAAAAGTGTATTTGAAAGGAGTTTTGCTGAAGCGTATAGATAACAAGGACTGATACGGATGAGCTAGACACGGGCGCTTGAAAGAAAAGACAGGAAAAAATAAGTCCAAGTCTGATGTCTGATGAACGGAAATTAATCAATCTAACCGTAAACGGTAATTCGGTCATCTCTCCCTTTGACTATACAACACCCGATCTGATATAGTCATATAATTATGAGATGTCTTGACTTGCTCGGAAAATACATCCTCATGCACTCCGAATGCGATGCAACAATCTGTGTAATTTTGCTCTTCTAGAGCACTTGTGCATCTGATCAGACTAGATGTATCTAATAGCTACACCTAATATTCAGGAGACTAGTACTGACTGAACGCCTGAATATGCGGCGGATACCGATCGCCCTTGATGGGGTTCGCCTCCAAAATGTCCCAAATCTCCTTCATTTCGTCTTTGGTTAACCTGATGTCGACCGCCTTCTTGCCATTGAGAACTGAAATTAGTCAAAGGCGCTCAATGTATGAGACTATCAGAGTAAACATACCAGCAAAAAGTCTCACCAGCATCTCATCCGCCAATTTTGTCCTCGAGAACATATAACGATGCACCACCGCCTGCCAGCCGTCCTCGTGAAACTTGCGCGTGAAAAACTCGAGATAATCGGCATAATAGTCCTCCTTGCTCATCAACGAGAGAAAATAGTCATCGTCGTAGAGCTTTTGAACTCGTTATCCATCGGCCGTCGCCAGTGGGCGCTGGTAGTGAGCGTTGGTGTCAAAGGCATCCTGCAGCTTACTTGAACTGGCTCCCAGCGCGTAGGCCGTTAGGAGATAGTGGTGTAACAGAGCACTTCAGGGTTCGGCGTGCACGTGCAACAACCTACAGAGGTCTGTCCAGCGGGTCGGGAAACGAGAACGCGTTTCTGGTTGACGCTGACAGGGCAACACCACCACCAACACCACCCAGAGAGGCAGCGGCTAGGGCAACGAGCGCCTAGTACGGCGGTGGTATTGGGAGCTGAGACAGGACTGATAAAAACACTCAGGAATAGGTAGACGGCATCAAAAAACCATGGGATTCATGATACTCTGTTTAACTGTAAACGAATGGCACACTGCCAGCACTGTAAACCGTTCCGCACTCCCCCTGCCAGCCCATTTTGGGTTGACATGTGACTAGACAACTTCCCTCCCTGCTCTCCCACCAGCCCAGCACAGCACAGCCACTTTGCCTTGTTACAATACATGCACCCTCATTACCCCCTAGACAGTTACACTCCCTTTGTAGGAGAGACAAAGCGGCAAAGGCTGATATCGAAGCGACTCCACAGCGAGGCTATGTTTGCTATATTTCCCGGGGCAACTTCCTAGCATTAGTGCCGCGAAAAATCAACAGCAAGAGGAGCGACCAAATGTTCGGGCCGACTACGAGAGCGCTCAGGGAATATCAGGGAGTCAAAAGGTGAGCCAAGCGTGAGCAACTCGGCGAGCGGCGCCGTTCGCTGGCAAGAGTGGGCGATGGGTTTTTCGTTCAAAACTACCTTCACTACCTAAAGTACCGAACACTCAGGTAGGTACCGGACTCCGTACGAGTAATTGGACTAGTGCTGGGCGGTGCAGGGAAGCTGGTGCTGGTCACTTCCTACATACCGAGTAGGCGTGCCTATGTACCCTCACTGACAAGGCCGCCTAGGGTGTCGACTATCACGGACCTGAGTAGGTTTGTCGCCGGGTTGATGTACTTATTCTTGCGATTCTTAGTCGTGCATTAGAGATCGGTTAGGCACAGAGCACATTCTGTTTCCACAGTGCAGTACCGAGTACATAGTCTATTCTTCTATTCCGTTTCTGTATAATTCTGTAGTCGCTAGGACGGTCGTGACACTGTCGGATGCTTTGAAACACATACACACTCGTACTTTTACATGAGACATACACACATATACACACACATCCTCCTGTTTTTGTCATTTCTCAAACATGTGTCTGTAGTTTGTCTCTCGCTGAGCGGTACCATACATACCTGTGTCATAAAAAGCGAGTGACTCTCGAGGTCCGTGACGCCCCTAAGATGGGGGAGATACCATTGATGACCTAGATCTCTTTGGAGACGGGGAACGCGGTAGCGGCGGCAATATCGTCATGTCCACTAGACCCGGGCCTGCGCTGTGTCGCAGCTGGCTCGTGCCTCTCTCCTCCTCAGGGGCCATCATCCGCCCGTTCACGCTCGACGAGTTGCGGCTCCAGCGCGAATTTAACAACGGTACCGGGGGCATGAGCGCGGGCGAGAACGGGAAGGGCGAGTCGGGGACGTTGGAGATGCTCTCGGAGGGGGTGATGGATTTGCGAAGTCGCCGTGGAGAGTTAAAGTTCGATTCGGGGGGAGTTGGAGTGGAGAAATGCGCCGTCGACGGTGTAGTCGGTGGCAGAGGGAAGTCCATCATGCCGAGGCCCGAGATCGTCAGGCTTCTGGGAGAAGGAAGGTTGGGCACGGTGCTCATGGCTTCGTCTCTTTCTGCTAAGGCAGGTGCGTTGCGCGCCACAGGAGTCGGAGGATTGTTCGCCAGACCGTTGGGATGTCTGAATTGACCGTCCACGCTTCGAGAGCCCGCGTACTCCTCCTCCACGTTGAACTGGGAAAGATATGTTCCAGAGCCGCCTGAAGTGTACGCGGGTGGAGCTGCAGTACTGTCGTGGAGGCTTCGTCTACTGCGAGTACTTTGAGATCGTTGAAGGTGGTCAGAAGCTGCGCCGTTGGGAGGGTTATTCTTCGAACCACTGCGGACCAGAACTGGTGGAGGCGCGCGTGTAGTCGTGATAGGTAGAGCGATAGCTGTGCCTCTGGTGACCGATGGTGCTGTCGTGACCACGGTTGAAGCAGGTCGCGCCTCTTTGGCCCGCGTGGCATACGCTTCAGACATTTGCGGAGCTGCTTTCGATGCCATTCCATCTTCTTCCTCTCCAGGTAGCCTCTGGCCTTGTCGTGCGCGGTAAATCGCCCATCTGGCCTTGAGCGGGTTGCAATAACGAAAGAGAAGGTAGACAGCCACAACAGCGGCCACAGCCCCCAACAGGGACGGGACTATGATTGCAGCTTTAGCTATGGGATGACTCGAGGCGCTGACAGTCTCATTGGCAGAAATTTCCGTGGTCGATGCTGCGGCCGACTCGGTACTGTCACTGGCAAGTGGCACCAGTGAAGTTGAACTCGTAGCAAAGGAACTGGAAAATGTCGAGCCGGTGGAAAGAAGCCCTTGAGAGGTGGTCGTGGCTGTTTCTGTCGAAGTGGGCGGGTAAGATGAGGCAGAAGTAGACGTGCCAGCCTGGCCTGTGGTTGGAGAGGGTATGAATGGGTTATCGGTCGTCATTGACTGCGCAGTTATAGATCGCTGATCTTGGGGTGCCGTAGTTGTCACCGGCTCGAAGGGGTTTGGAGGATTGCCGTCTCCCTCTCCGTCGTTCTCATCCTGGCTATCATCACCACTAGACGTCTGATCCTCAGGAAGGAAGTTATTCTGAGGTAGGCCTGATTCAGTTCTTAGCTTTGAAGGCGAGAAGCCATGGCGATGGGGGAGCTTAGGGTCAGGGCAGCATCGATTGCATTTGGGGCTGGTGATGATGGTAGACATGGGATCGTTGGTGGCATCTCACCTTGCCTCTGCACGACTTTTGGTTTCTGGAAACCGTGTGAATCCTCGCTTCGTTCTGCCATCATCGGAGCAATCTGGGACCTGTCAAGGCGTCCCTTGAGTTTGTTGGGGAGCATCTTGCCTGGCGTCGGCCGTCCAAAGACTCTTCAAGTATTTGCACCCAAGACAAAGTAACGGAAACGAGCATCGATGAAATGCAGAGACGAGCACGAAATGAACTTGGCAGAGGAACCAGCCTCAGCTTCAACCTTCGACAAACACCCGAACAAGCAACAAGCACTTCAGGGCCAAGGGACTGAATCGACCAGCGACAACACGAAGAGGTAGAAAACGAGAAAGACGAGAGAAGTCAAGTCGTCTATGAAATTCCCCTTTCGTAGCTTACCGATTTCAGCAATACAACGAACGCCCAGACAGCTGATGATGCAGACTGTGCATACCTCGTAGTCCAGCCCCGTACGAGAGGAGGCCCTGACAGTCACAGATTTGGAACGAACAAGTCTTGTTTTGCCATCGACGGCGACGAGTTCTCCACTGCGATTGAAACGACAGGCACCGCAGGGAGCGGGTGAGTCTGGAACGGCCTTGGCTCATACGTCAACACTGAGGAAGACACACCAAACGGTATCAGCTTGAGAAGCTCTGAAACAGTCGGGGTCGGAAGACGGTGGAGGCGACCAGCTTGGCAAACACAGACAACACACAAAAGTGGCTCGGACCCACGTGGCCGTGGCGTGGCACAGGTGATGTTGGTGTTTTCTGGTGTTTTGTACGAGGTACCCAGTACCTCCTTTGTAATAATGAAGAGAAGAGCCCGAGGAGATGTGCTCTCCCAGCTTACCTGTAGTTAGTCATCATGGTTGAGGTTGACAGTCGGTGAGAGTGGCAAGGCGTGAGTGTAATGAGAATAGGGGCAGTTAGTGGTAATACCTAATAGGGGCAGTAGGGGCCACTGGGCACCGCCAAGCCTCTTCACTTTCCCCTTTTCCTAATATTTCCTCATTGGAGAGACACCACGCATCCCCCAATGTCACATAATGTCTAATCGCAAATAGGCCAATGTACCCAATTCCATTTCTTCCGGCATCTCCAGCCATCGTCATTAGGTAAGCTGAACGAGCCGTGCTGGTGCTGTGTCCCTATGAGGGGATCAATATGTTGTTGCTGCCTCAAGACTCGCTGTTGCTGAAGCGGCGAGTGCCCGGCCGGCGTTGTACCCGGCAGCCAACCTGACTAAACCGGGTCTCCAGTCCGAAATCAACAAGATCCAGGATAAAAAGCTTCTGGCGATGGCATTGGGGCACACTCAGCTCGCCAGATCCGGAACCATCTTGAGGAAAACGAGACACGCGAAGAAATGGGGCCCAAGGACATCATCAAAGACAGCAGCAGCAACAGCAACAGCAACAGCAACAGCAACAGCAACAGCAACAGCAACAGCAACAGCAACAGCAACAGCAACAGCAACAGCAACAGCAACAGCA